GGCGCGGTGATCGCGCGAGAGTTTTGCGTTCTTTTTTTTTTTTTTTTTTTTTTGAATCTTGTCGAGCCCCCGATGGCTCTCGGAATTTCGGACTTTCTTTTCGGGATTTGTGCTTTACTACAGTTCTTTTTAGATTTCTTCGTAAATAGGAAAATAGGAAAATAGAAAAATAGGAATTTAGGAATTTAGAAATTTACGACTTCGGAATTTCTTTTGCCGCGGGGTGCTCTTTTCTCGCGCGTTTCTTCTTGCAGCTGCAATGAAGCTCTGATTAGTCGACGCCCTTAATCTTGCACGTAACTGTAATTTTGGGTGGGGCGCCCTTGTAACCGTATCTTTCTTCTTGAGCTTCGTCTTTCCCGCCCTCTTTCTTCTTTGCTGTGTTTAGTTGACCCTCGGGCTGCATGATCGATCGATGCGTGGAGAGTGGCTACGTCCCCCACGCCGCGATCTGGCCATGCAGAACGTAGGCACTCCCTCCCCTTCTTTCCTTCTAAGTCCTTGCAATTCTGTGTTCTTCGTGCATGCATGCACGCTATAAATTTCGACTGCGCGAGTAGATAGCTCTCTTAAAACAGTTGCTGGAAGCTCGGGGTAGCGCGATCAGTGAGGGTTGGCTCACGAGCGAAGTAAGAGGTGAGTTGAAGTGGGAGTTGGACGACCCGACGAGCTGGTGCCGAATGTGCGGGGTTGACGTGTGGGGCTACGACGGACTGTAACGCGCACGCGAACCCGACGGGCACAGAAGGACTAAGTGGGGTGATAACTTCGTGGGTTGGTGCGTGACGACGGACTGTCCACATCAGAGAGAGAGAGAGAGAGAGAGAGAGAGAGAGAGTGAAGATGGATGGACGTGAGTTGTAATTTTCGTTGTCTTTTCCTTTTCTTTTGTATATAAGTTTTGATTGCGGCTCGGGCAATTCGCCCTTATTTTCCTTTGACATCTTTGTCTCATTCGGTCTCGATCCTTCCTCTTTCGTGTATATTGGATGAACGAGTTTTGATGGAATGATATGCTTGCCATTTTTGCCTAATCATCATCGTTGCTTGTCACTTTGATCTACTGTCATCATAAATAGTGTTTGATGTTGTTGCGGTGTCTGATGTGTGCGATGTCATTTCGCATGATCGGAAATTATTGTTTGCGGGATCACTGAATGATTAGATGGTTGGGTGGGTATCTATGCCACGTGACGATGTTGCTTGAAGGATTGAACTCTCACTTTTGCACGAGAATCAGCCAACAGGCCCGTGTACGACCGAACACCTCGTGCGCGCACGTGTAAGCAAGATCTGATCAGCGTGGCCTACACGTGTCCACACGCGGACGATTCACGATCACTGATGAACTTGGCACCTCCTGTAGCGGGATAAGCGCAAAATTTCCTTTTTTTTAGCCGGTAGGAATTTCCGGCCCCATGCCCGGAAATTCCCTTGCCGATCGAAGTACATCCCGATACGTGCAGAGGGTTCCCACTACGCTACAACTAGTGAATTGCCGAAATGATAAGATGTCGTACATCGGGGATCGGGAAGGATTGTGAAACTCATAGTACCAAGAATATTGGGAATGAGAACAACTTAGGCTGAGGCATCCCAAATTCCCCTGTCTAACCAAGAACGACAGACTGTTGTCCCAGGGACTTTCGCCGCGCCATAACCAGCGACCCGAGGGCTCCCGACTACCCAACTACGTATAACACGCAATATTTCATATCCCTCGGCTTCGTCGTTATCACCACCAATTTCCCTCCCTTCCACATCCTCCTCCCATACCACCAACTCACGGTGGTACCATGGAACTCCATAGCCCCGTATAGGCCCCACATGCCGTGTAGAAATTGCGGACGATGTGGCAACCGCCGAGCCTTTTGAACTACGGAGCCTAACCATAACACGCGACGTCAATCGACACGTGTCCACACCCAGAGGTCCGACCCATAGAACTCGCAACCCCCGCAAACGGACCTCCCCCGAACCGCCGTCACTGAAACAGGCGGGTCGGACGGTCCAAGATGCACCGCACATGCCATCTGCCTTATGCTGCACGACATCGACCGCCATTAGACCGAAGGTAACCCGTCCCTTAGCCTCATTGCGCCTATGCCCCTAAAATCTTGCCACATGAGATCTCAGTTCCCGCCTGAGACTCCACCCCAACCCCCCAAAAATCCTTGGCACACCCCTTTTCGCACTTCCAGACCCATATCCCACTCCGATCAGGAAGTCGCGCGAGGTCGGTATCAGAGCCGACACGTGGCAGGGTTATAGGATTCGTAGGGTGAGATCGAAGCGATCTGGCTAACAGAGGGCGACCCCAACCCTGGAACGCGCATCGACGCGATCCCGTCATTACAAGAAGCCTGTCGGCGGATCGACGGGTAGTTAACATGAACGCTAATCAACTGAATCCGAATCCACAACAGAACCCCAGCCGACAGCTAAATCCTAATCAGGCCGTACCACGAGCGCGGGCACCCATAGCTCCACCCGATCTCTATCTGTTCGATCCCGCTTTTCACCTTGTTGGAGCATGGTTGGCCACGCTCCGAGCTCAGCAGTATCATGACAACTAGGCACAGGTAAACATCCCCGCTCGATTAGGGGGGACCGCTCATCATTGGTTCAGCACCTATGTATGGGTGGATCTCCCACTCTTCGAACGAGACTTTCTGAACCGATTCGACTGTATCCATCCGGAACAGGCCCTTTTTATGATTAAGGATCGAGTCCAAAAACCCCTCGAGTCTGTCACCGAGTACCGAGATCGATTTTACCAAATGTTTGTAAACACAGAACGAGGCGAACAGGTAGGTAGAAATTTGTTTATTGACGGACTTCGCGGCAGAGCAATGAGGGCAAAACTGCGAAAACAGTTCTCTCCCATCAATCACACGCTGGAACAGATCATAGCGGCCGCAGAAGAGATGGAACGAAAATTTGTTGCAAGTTTTCTAGAAGGAAAAGATTATCCTAGGGAAGGAGACTCGTCCGAACTAGCGAGAGCTAAAGCCGAGATGGCCGCGCGACAGAATAAGTAAGAAAACATGGGATTTGTGTCTGGCCCGGTCACCTATTTGGAACAGATTAACCCCAAACGACCAGCCCCGAGTGTGATTACGGGCATGCCAGTTCCCGTGATGACGACACCCGCACCTTCGATCGAAAGTCCTGCACGACCTAATGAATCAACCGCCTTATTGAAACTGAGCAAAACACTGGTTAATCTGATCCAGGAAAGCAAAAAGGAACAACGGGAACACAATGCTCGAATAAAGGCGATGATGAGGTTGATGCGACCGATAGCAGTACGTGTCGCCCCGATTCAACACGGGCTGGCTCCAGCACCCGCTCTCGGAGGGGCCGCTGGTAATTTGAACGTTTGTTACACGTGTCACCAACCTGGGCATATAGCCTGGGACTGCCCTCATCGACCCCCACAACCACGGATCGGAGCCGCACCGGTGGCAGCAGCCCCGATCGCTAACGGGCTGGGACGAGTAGGAGCGTTAATGGAGGAAATGGAAGGAGGGGGAAACACGTTAGCTACGGTGGAAGAAGCCGCCGAGCTCATTCCGTTTGATCAGTACGTCACGCTTGGTTACCCGGGATTGGGCATGATTGGAACGATCAGACCCGCCCCGGAACAAAGGGAAGTGGCGGAATGGCGACCTTCTCCAGGAGAAATGGAGTCGGGAGGACCCACCTTCGTCACTGGGGAAATCGACGTCTTAAACATTGTATGGGTATTAGATCATCGGATTCCTCTTCTGAAGGGTCATCTACTCTCGATATCAGAACAAGCCAATGAGCGCATGTTGCAACATTGTAAGGCAAACTGGAAGTTGTTCGCCTTCGCTCGAATAGCAAACACAAAAGCTAAAAACCTGCCGCCAGATGAATACGCTGCTGGTACTTCGGACCCCATATGATTGGGACTAATCCAGAAAGATGATCACTTCCTGCGGATTAAAGCAATTCCGTGGAAATCCGCAGAATGTGATATCGAAGTATGGGGAGTCCTGTACAACGCCGTTATTGATTCTGGAGCAGCCGTCTTAGCTATCTCACTACGAGTAGTCGAAAGAGCAGGAAGAAAGAAAGATCTGATTATGCTTACGGAGAAGGATCAGCTCATCTCTGCAGATGAATAAAATATCAAAACAGTGGGACGAATGACCAATGTTGCTTTTCAACTGGGAAAGGTGCACGCTCTGGGAGATGTCGTAGTGTTAGACGTCAACACTTATGATGTTCTTTTGGGTTTACCTGCTCTTATGGCTCTGCGAGCCAACTTGGACTTCGAAAGACGATCGATTATCCTCCGAAATACGGGAGGAAAACCCTACGCCATACCTATGAGGTTGACCCTTCGTACGTATGTTAATGTAGCCTCGCAAGTTTCTCAAGTAATGGCGGGAACTCTCCGGGTGATCACCTGGGAAAACTACGCGGACGATGAGCAATCATCGGAAGATGCGGACAGCAGTGACAAGGATGATGCGGCAATTCTGGAGCTGGCGCGACAACACATTTGTTACCCTGCGCAACGAGTGAACGCTAAACCGTTGAACCTGACTGATCGAAACCTGCAAAGAACACAAACGATGATTCTGGGAGAACCTCTCGTACAGATATCAAGGATGGTCGATTCTTTGGAACCCCCTCGAACCCTGTACGAAGGTATCTCCCCTCTCCTTGCGCGATACAACGACAAGAGACACTTCTGCGACATCACGAGCCTCCCGCGATCTCTTGTGCCACCTGCAAAAGAGATACAATTGCTACGCTTAGGGGCGGAGGCCAATTCTTTGGAACCCCCTGGGCGCCCCGAAACTGGACTCGGAATTAAAATCGCGACCAAATCGGTGTCATGGTAAGACATTCGCGATGGAGTGACCCCAGAAGAACACGTAGCCATCCGAGAAGAATATGCGCAAATGATGGCTACGATATCGGATAACTCGTTTATTTTCGCACCCCCGCCTGAACCCACTAGGCAGGTAAGTACGAAACAAATCGATGTGCGGATATGGAACCAGTCGTACGA